GAGAGAGAGAGAGAGAGAGAGAGAGAGAGAGAGAGAGAGAGAGAGAGAGAGAGATTATGCTTCAAGTGGCAATAGGCAAGAAGAATTGTCCAGTGAACATTTACAAGACTCTAGAAAAGCACAGAACTAGAGATACCAGTTTGGGATTCTTCATTCTTTATTGGGAAGGTGAAAGTTGGAGCCAGGAGGGAGTGAATGTTGAGACCTATCGAGGTTCCCTCTCTATTTTCCATGAGTTTGTGCTTCGTCTGTCTCTTTTGCACATACCAGTGGACTCTTGGCCAGGCTGCAGAATTTCCTGGTTTGTTGAATGGCTAACAAGAGTTTACATTAATATAACTGTAGAATATTTTTACAGTTTAAGTATATACTATACTAAGATTATATTCACTTTATTGAATAACCTTTTTTCTAGAGTCAAAAATTGTCTATTTTTTATTTGCTTAATGATCTATGCATCCATTGTTTATTTTTTATTTTTAGAGATAGGCTCAAGTGATCCTCCTGCTTCAGCCTCCAAGTAGCTGGGAATATAGATATGAGCCACCATACCCAGCTATCTATGCATCTATTGTTAACTCTTTCACAGACTCTCCATTAGAGCTATAAAATATTTGTTGATCTGGTCACGTGAACCAGGTCATCTACCAGTGTCTTTTTTTGTTTTCTTGGCAACATCCCTCCTTAGACTCATCCTCCTCTTGCTCCAAACTCTTCCACTTGACCTTGCTTCACAGCTCTTGTCCTAGGATTCGGGGCCTGACCACATTCTGGGGATTGTCTTCTTGTTTCTCCTGTGCCAAATCCCCTGCTCTGGATCTTATGTTTTTCCATTCTTGGTTTATTCCCGCATTTTGGAGGAGCACGTTCTCCATGAACTCCCCAAAAAGGGTTCATGGAAGGTAAATTTTTGAGTCCTTGCTTGTCTAAAAATGGCTTTATTTTCTTTCATCCTTGAGTGACAGATTTCCACTTGGAAATTATTTTCCCTCAGAAGTTTAAAGGCATTGATTCATTGTCATCTAGCTTCTCATGTGGCTAGACTTTTGAGGAGACTGATTTATTCTGACTTCTGTTAGTTACTTCCTGTATATTTTGTTTGTTTATTAGTTTTTGGAAGTCTTTAGGATATTTTTCTCCTTGATCCTTGATGTTCTGAACGCTCTTAATAAACTGTCCTGTAAGTATTTTTCATTCATTATGCTAAGCACTGGGTGGCCCCCTTTCAATTGGGAAACATAGTCTTCCATTCTGGGAAATGTTCTCTGTGATCAGTTTCTCTCTCTATATATATATATATTTTTTTTAACAAAAAGAGACAAGGTCTCCCTATGTTGGCCAGGTTGGTCTTGAACTCCTGGCTTCAAGTGATCTTCCTGCCTCAGTCTCCCAAAGTGCTGGGATTATAGGTGTGAGCTGCCACGCCCAGCCAGTTTCCCTGTTTTTACATTTTTCTTCATGTTCCATTTCTTGGTTTTGTTTATTCTGCTCTACAAAAGATTCTCCTGAGCTGTATCCCCTGGTTTTTCTGTTGAACTTTTTCATTTCTGCTACAAAAATGTTAATTTCCAAGAGTTTTTTTGTTCCCCAACTTTCCTTTTTGATAGCTGCTTGCTCTTATGTTGTGAATTCAGGATCTTCTCTTATTTCATATTTCTGAAGATGCCAATTGTAATTTTCTACTGTTTTCTTCTGCTTCCTAGATTGTCTCTGTTGTGTATTTTGGTTTCTGGCTTTCCAAAAGTTGGAGCTTTTCCTCAGACAATAACAGCTACCATTGAGTACCAGCCCCTGTTCTAAGTGTTTTGTATGTTTCAGCTAAGTTAATCCTTACAACAACCCTATGAGGTAGGGCCAGGCACAGGTCCCTCCCATCCCAGGCCTGGAATGTTCTTAGCTGAGAATTTCTTCTGCTGATTGATGTCAGGAACCCTTTATCTGATGTTTCTCCCAATCCTGCCTCCCTCTGCCGGCACCTGGGTTAGATTTAAGATTTTGCTAGATCTGTTACTAGTCAGCTCTCTGTTTTCCTTCATTAAAAAAAATGTATTGACATCTCTATTTCACAGTTACTGTCCTGTTCTCTTTTTCCTTTCCTTTTGTACTCCAAGATTGTCATTTTAGTTCATTTTGGGAGGTAGCAGAGATAAACATTTGTGTTCAATGAGCCATCTTTATTTAACTGGAAATCCAGAGCTCTGTCTCCCTCTTTAAGTCAGGAAGCATACAGACCAAAAAAATTATAGTGATTATTACTAGATTCTGGGATTATGATTATGAGTGATATCTATATCTATACCTGCATCTATTTTTCTCACTCATAGAGTTAGAAGTCAAAAAAGAACATTTCAGTTAAGATATTCATTTTATGATGTGATTTAGACTATCTGATAAAATGCTTCTTGAGGAAGCAGTAAAAATATTATGACAAGTTATATATTGGTATAATTACTTTGGAAAGCAATTTAGTATCATCTATAACCTGGCAATACCACTCCTAGGTGTATATTCTCAGGATGGCTTTACATTTAAAATTATTAAGGAGCTCAAGAGCTTCAGTTTATGAGTTATATTTTTTGAATTTTTCCATATTAGAAATTAAAACTGACTCGGTATGGTGGCATGCCTGTAATTCAGCACTTTGGGAGGCCAAGGTGCAAGGATCACCTGAGACCAGGAGTTTGAGACCAGCATGGGCAACATAGTGAGATCCCATTTCTACAAAAAAAATTTTAAAAATAGCTGGGCTTGGTGGCATGCACCTGTAGTCCGAGCTACTAGCGAGGCTGAGGCAAGAGGATCACTTGAGCCTAGGAGTTCAAGGCTGCAGTGAGCTATGATTGTGCCCTCGTACAGGTGACAGAGCTAGACCCCATCTCTAAAAAAAAAAAAAGAAAACTGATAAAAATTAAATATAAGTATTACTTCTTTTAAAAATAAAAATAATACACAAATTACATGTCAACAAAACATATATTTATGAAAAGCAAATTTTGAAACAAAAATATTACTGAGAAGAGTGGCACTGTTTTATATTTATATAAATCTTTTTTTTAAATTAACTTTTTTTTTTTTTTTTTGAGACGGAGTGTCACCCACGCTGGAGTGAAGTGGTACGATCTCAGCTCACTGCAATCTCCACCTCCCCGGTTCAAGCAATTCTCATGCCTCAGCCTCCTGAGTAGCTGGGATTATAGGAGCATGCCACCATGCCTGGCTAATTTTTGTATTTTTAGTAGAGACAGGATTTTGCCATGTTGGCTAGGATGGTCTCTAACTCCTGACCTCAGGTGATCCGACTGCCTCAGCCTCCCAAAGTCCTGGGATTACGTATGTGAGCCACCACACCTGGCCCTAATTAATTTTTAGTTGACACATATGGTACATATTTATGGGGTATGTGTAGTGATTAGATCAGGGTAATAAACGTATGCATCATCTCAAACATTTGTCATTTTTATGTGTTGGGGACATTCAATATCCTTTCTTCTTTATTTGAAATTACATAATATGTTATTGTTAACTGTGCTCATCCTACAGTGCTACAAAACACTAGAAGTTGTTCCTCCTACCTGGCTGTGATTTTGTGTCATTGAACAAATCTCTCCCTACCCTCCCCTTCCCTCTCCAGCCTCTAGTAACTTCTATTCTGTTTTTGACTTCTATGAGATTAATTTCTTTTTAACATCTATGAGTGAGAACATGTGGTGTTTAACTTTCCGTGCCTGGCTTATTTCACTTAACATAATGTCTTCTAGTTCCATCCATGTCACTTTGAATGACAGGATTTTATTCTTTTTAATGGCTGTAAATCTTTTAGATGTCTGGCTCAATAGAAGACAGCTGTATTCTCAAGTCAGCTATATCTTTCAATCTGCTGCAATATATTTTGTGTTTGAAGTGTATGTAATCGGAAAAGGAACATTTCTTTCTTTTTTTTTTTTAAAGACAGGGTTTCACCATGTTGGTCAGGCTGGTCTTGAACTCCTGACCTCAGATGATTCGCTCGCCTTGGCCTCCAAAGTGCTTGGATTACAGGCGTGAGCCACCACGCCCGGCCTGGAAAAGGAACATTTCAATAGCCTTTTCAGATAATCATGGATGTTCTTTGATAAGACACCAAAACTCAGCAAGTGGTAGTTTTTTAAAGTTTAATTGTAACACGAAATCTGAAACCATAGCAATGACCTTTTTATACTCTATTATAGGAACACTCACAGTTTTTCTTGCCTTTTGAATGAATGTTTTACCCATGCAGGGTTTTGTCAACACATGCATTGGTCATTTGGAAATTGCTGGGGCACTGAGTTATGCAGATCTTCTAAATGTTGACATATTATACAACATCAAAAAATCACATTTATTAATACCAATACCCGTCTCATCAGAAAAAGTCTTTTGCTATTATCAAGCTCATAATAGCAGATAAAATTTTTCCAAAATTCTAACTTTTGCTCAAAAGGTTGAATTTTCTCATTGACGACAAACACTGTCAGTTGCTTTTCTGGAAGTGACAGGTGCATTTTATTCATTTTGGAGAAAATGTCTGCCAGATACCCAGGTCTGAATGATTATACTTTGTCTTTCAGCTGTACTTTCAGGTAAGAATGGTGCTCTGTGAGTCAAGTGGTTACTTCAGCTCACAACTCAATCACTTAAGGTTTTTTCCTCGAGAAAGTCATCATACTTTGATATGCAGCATAACTGCTTATGCATCCTTCCCATTTTGTCACACAGAATATTGAAAAGATGTGTCTCTAAGAGTTGAGATTTAATAAAACTTGTAACTTCTACTACAGCTTGGTGTCATTTGCTGATTTGTGCTAGCAGTTTTACCCATTGTTGCTTTTGCAGGGTCCTTGAAAATGTCAATACCATGAAAAAGGCAAACAATGTCTTTATTATGATGAACCTAGTTTTAGCCTGGCTGATAGGGCCTCAGGGACTTCCAAGGTTCATGGACCACACATTAAGAGCTGCTGCTCTAGAGGAACTCTTGCACTTGTGAACAGGAAATATCTATCAAGAATGTTCAGGGCAGTACTGTTTATGAAAGCAAATGCCTGGAAACAACCCACATTTCTATCAGTAAGGGAGGAGAGAAACTGTTGGTAGATTTACATAGTGGTCTACTATCCTATATAGCAGTGACTGAGTATCCTAGCGCTCTGTGAAACAAACTAGATTAATTTCAATGTCTTAATTTATACTCCCCCAAAACAGAGTATGAGATGTGAGACAAGTCTTTCGGTGCAGGAGTGTGTTTAGGAGGTAATCCCAGGAAGCAGAAATGGGAGTAAGCAAAGAAGGAAAAAAGTCAATAAAAGGTGCAGTATGGAGCACCTGTCACTACGGAGTAGCGTGCTCAGTCACATTGGGAACATTTGGAGGAATCATGTAGAGTACAGCGCAGAGCTGAAGGTGTAAGGCTGGAGCATTTTCCCTTGACTCCCCTCACTGCTGTTTCTGTCTCCAAGACTTTGGCTTTGGTGAAATCCTGGGCTGCACAGCCTTCCAAGGCTTTGTAGAGAGTCCTGAGACAGGTAAGCCGAAGGATGCTGTGTCCTGTGAGGGGGCATGCTGGCAGCTTGCCTACAAGGCTCAGCTACACCAAAATTGAGTGGGCTGAGGGGACATGGTGTGGGTCACCACAGATGTCTGCTAGACTCAGAAATTAATGTTGGATAAAAAAAAGGGAATCATTGGAAATTATGTACAATGGGCTCCATCTTTAAAAAGACATAAAAATGTATAATGTATTATTAAGGATATAATTATGGAGATTATGAATATACGCTTAAGGATATTATGAAAGCAAGACAGGAGGGAAGCGTTTATCACATGTTGAACAGTCAGCAAGCTTGCTTGTCAGAAGGCACATGTCAGGGTGTAGCTGGAGATAAAGATAGTGAGTTAAAGAAGGTGGCTAATTGGTGGATGTCTTTGAAACCAATCTTCCAATTTACTCTGATTTGAAAAGTAAAGGGAGGGAAGAAGGTTTTTAGAAAGAATGTGATAGGATCAAAACGCATCAAAGAGAATTACTATTGGCAGCATTGGAGGAAAAGGCAGCGGAGGGGCAAAGGTCTCTTCTACCTGGTCAGTCGTATTCAGTGGTTCCCTCGATTTTTGGGAGCCTCCTCTTTGCTCTGTTCTTTTATCAAAGGCCGACAGACAGGGTGTGGCTTGCTGGTTTAGAGGGACAGTTAGAAAGGAGTACTGTGAGGCAGAGACAGCCCTGGCCTCTCATTTTATAAAATTTGAACTTTCCCCTGGCCCACATCCCTCGACCTTCCTGATGCTTCTGCCTGCTGCCCCCTGATCTCTCTTCATGGGTAAGGAGTATTTCCAGCTTGCAAACTCCAGCTTTGCCTGTGAGAGGAACAAGGGTCCATGATCCAGAAGGTGGTGAGTTCTCCCCTCTCTTCATATTGTTTAGTCCTTTAACTTTCTCAGGATCCTCAGGTTCAGTAGCGAAATAATCTCTTCTCCTTATGCACAAGAACATTTTCAAGGATGAAATGGGGCAGCTGTTAGCTATCCCTAAAGAAACTCAAAAGGAGACAAGTGACAAGAAAGCTGGATGGGATTTTTCAAAGGACTCTTATTTAAGTAATATTGTCATCATGATTAAATTACAGACAATGCTTATTTAGCTCTCACTATTTGCTGGACTCTGTGCTGTGTGCGTTCAGACTGATCATTTGCAGATTTGCAAGGTCATCTTAAACTGCTTGGGATTGTCAAGAGAACACCTGTTACAATCTTTTTTCTGATTTAGAAGTTTTAAAAATTAAACTGTTTCAAACTTAAAATGTAAATAACTGCCTGGGGGAAAATGTTTCCAACATGTGTAATGGAAAAAAAAATGGTTAGTTTATGAAGAATTTTGCAAGCCATTAAGAGATAAATGTCCCAATAGAAAAATGAACAAAGAACATAGACAGGTAATTGACAAAATCCAAATAACAAGTGAGTAATCAAAGAAATACAAATCAAAATAGAACACCATCAAATTAAAAAAAAAAGAGATAGCATTTTGTTACTCATCAAATTGGCAAATATTTTTTTAAAAATGATAACATCCAGTGATAGTAAGGTTGTGGGAACAATTTCACATAATACTTTGGTAAATTAATGCGACTTTTCCGGAGGGCAATTTGGCAGTGCAAATGAAAAGTCTTCCCATTTTAAAGATGGGAAACTCAAGACTTAAGAATCTAAGTGACCTGCTTAAAGTCAGGACCAGGTGTGGTGGCTCATGCCTGTAATCCCAGCACTTTGGGAGGCCGAGGTGGGCGGATCACAAGATCAGGAGATCGAGACCATCCTGGCCAACGTGGTGAAACCCTGTCTCTACTAAAAACACAAAAATTAGCTGGGTATGGTGGTGCACACCTATAGATAGTCCCAGCTACTCAGGAGGAGGTTGCAGTGAGCCGAGATCGCGCTACTGCATGCCAGCATGGCGACAGAGCGAGACTCAGTCTCAAAAAAAAAAAAAAAACGAAAAAAGTTACAAAGTCATGCAGGAGTAAGGGACCAAGCCAAGACTAGGACTGAGCCCTCTGATTCTAGACCTCAATTCACTGTCACCTGTAGCAATGTTTATAATAGTGATATATTGGAAAACAACCTAAATATCCTCCAATATAGAATTATTTTAAAACGTTTACATTTTATAACCTAATTTCTAAAATTCTATGTCCATAATGGAATCCTAAGGTCATGTAAAGAATATTCAATCACCTTGGGAAATGCACATAATATAGCACTTGGTGAACATATCAGGTATCAAAACAGCATATAAAGTATTTATTTTTTTATTTGAGACAGGGTCTTGCTCTGTCATCCAGACTGGAGTGCAGGGGTGCTTCATAGTCACTAGAAAGTTGAGGGATTTTGGGCTTGGGGATAACTCTAGAAAATCGTGGGCCCTGCCTACTTCTACCTTCAACCATAATTGATAAAATAGAGAGCTTTTCTCATTTACTTAATTTCTCTTGTGTAGTTTTTGAGTAGCTTTACAGGAGGAAATCCTTTAGGGTCTCCCTGTGGTTAATGCACACAGTCATCTGTACCTGCCAGGGATAATTTTCCTCATTTAGTTAGTAATAATAACAACGACTACATGCTTATTGAGCACTTGTTCTGCCAGGCATTTGTGGCCAGTGCTTTGCAGGGACTATCTCTTCGAACCCTCACACTCACCTGTGAGGACAATTCCCCTTTATAGATTAAGAACCCGAGGCCCAGAGATGTTATGCAACCTTCCTAGGGACACAGAGCTATTAATAGGTAGAGCTTAGACTTGAACCCATGTCTTTCTAGCTCCAGACACTGAATTTGTAGGAGTAGTGCCTTCAGGGTGACATGGAGGGATCTCACTGCCTTGATCTGTTATTTGTCAAGAGTCAATTGGAAGGCTGTCAGGGAAGACCTCCAGGCTGCATCATGGGCAAAGACTGGCTTGAAACAGGCACTTCCCAAGCCTGACCTTGGACACCATCTATAAAAAGAGGCCATGGCTGGGCGCAGTGGCTCATGCCTGTAATCCCAGCTCTTAGGGAGGCCCAGGTGAGACCAGCAAGGAGAAACCCCATCTCTACTAAAAATAGGAAATTAGCTGGGCATGGTGGCAGGTGCCTGTAATCCCAGCTACTCAGGAGGCTGAGGCAGGAGAATCGCTTGAACCTGGGAGGTGAAGGTTGTGGTGAGCCTGAGATCGCAACATTGTACTCCAGCCTGGGCGACAAAAGTGAAACTCCACTTAAAAAAAAAAAAAAAAAAAAGGCCATTAATGGTGTTTCCTCGGTTAGTTCTGGGTATAAGTTTTGGATCCTCACTCATCTCATCTGCACTGTCACCCTCACTCACTGCATTTAGAGACTTAACACGCCAGCCTCCTTGTGAACATTTACCGCTTTCAACCCTCACCATAATCCCTCAAGGAGGCACAGTTCACAAAATACCCGTTTTGAAGGTGCAGAAACAGTCTCAGAGAAGTTTGGTCGTAATATCCCGAGGAGGTAAGTAGCAGAGCTGGGACTGGAGCCCAGGCCTTTGTGATCCCAGAGCACCAGCAAAGCCGTGTCAGCCCGGCTCCTGGGTCATACCCTCTGTCACGCCAAGCCCATCAGCCCGCTCGTGCTGTCTCCCTGTCTGTCCTAGTTCGGATGGAGATGGCGAGTTCCGCTGCCTCCTGGCTCTCTGGCTGCCTCATCCCTCTCGTCTTCCTCCGGCTGCCTGCACACGTGTCAGGTAGGAGTTTCTGATCCTCTTTCCTTGCCTTGGTACATGGGATGCTGGCATCATAGAATAAGGAAGCTTGGTTGGAAACATTATTGCTTTTGGGGTTCTGTTCCCTCCGCCACAGCAATCCTTTCTAGAGCCCTTCCCGGGCTCTGTCCGTCCCTGGGATATCCCCTTCCTCGTCCCTTCGCAAGCTTTCTCCTGCGCTCCCTCCCAGTCAGCCTTGTCTTTTTTTGGTCCAGGCCTCGCAGGGGATGCCGGCAAGTTCCACGTGGCCCCGCTAGGGGGCACAGCCGAGCTGCTCTGTCCTCTCTCCCTCTGGCCCGGGATGGTGCCCCAGGAGGTGAGGTGGCTGCGGTCCCCGTACCCGCAGCGCTCCCAGGCTGTTCACGTGTTCCAGGATGGGAAGGACCGGGATGAAGATGTGATGCCGGAATATATGGGGAGGACGGCGCTGGTCAGAGACGCCCAAGAGGGAAGCGTCACTCTGCAGATCCTCGACGTGCGCCTGGAGGACGGAGGGTCTTACCGATGTCTGATCCAGGTTGGAAATCTGAGTAAAGAGGACACCGTGATTCTGCAGGTTGCAGGTTAGGATGGGTTTGAGGTGCCCAGGGTCATCTGTGGCAATTGGACAAGCTCAATCAGGACCTCCATGTCTAGGCTTTTATTTTATCTGCAGTGTAGTTTTTACTTGCCAGGACAGCTCAGCCTTACCCAGACACGTCCATCGATCTCAGCCGAGGCTATGAAGCTGGCCCAGGCATTTCTGATAAGGAAGGAACCCAGACTTTGGAAAACACGGTACAATGCAGGTCCTGGTTAAATAGGGCTTGGAGGCTCAGATAGTTGCTTTTCCTCCCTAGGTCATCTTTCTATGCTCCATTATCAAGGAACTCATTATGATGGCTTCAAGGGACAGATCCCCTGCTGTAATAAGGTTTACTTAATGGGACCTCTCCTGGGATTTCTGAGTACATAAAGGGTCAAGAAGGTAGAGATAGTGTTACTCTCTCACTCCCCCCGCCTTCTTTTTTTTTTTTTTTTTTTTTTTTTGGAGACAAGGCCTTACTCCGTTGCCCAGGCTGGAGTGCAGTGGTACAATCATAGCTCACTGTAGCCTCAACCACCTCAAGTAATCCTGCGACCTCAGCCTCTCAAGTAGCCAGGACTACAGATACACTGCCATGCCTGCCTAATGTTTTTTTACTTTTAGCAGAGATGGGGTCTCCCTATGTTACCCAGACTGGTTTCCAACCCAGCAGTCCTCCCTACTTGGCCTCCCAAAGTGTTGGCATTACAGGTGTGAGCCACTGCACCCAGTTGAGAGTGTTCTCAAACTAGCTTCAATATTTTTAAAAAATTAGTCTACCCAAAATCAGTCCACCAAAAAAATCAGTCTACTAATATTTAAAAAAATCAGTCTATCAAACCAAACCCAAATCAACCCAACCCAAACCATGTCTTTGCATTTGCTTGAATGACACTGGCTTCACATGGTCACATGCTGATTATCTTTTGGTCATAACTGGAATTGCATACCATGAAGTGAGGATGAATCAATTGCTTCAAAACTAGTAAGTGTTTTGAAGTAATTGATTCATCCTCACTTCATGGTATGCAACATGAAAGACAGACTTTCCAAATATGGAGTCCTTTGGGGTGAAAAATAATTTTTTTGTTGTTGTTGAGACAGAGTTCACTCTTGTTGTCCAGGCTGGAATGCAATGGCGCAATCTCGGCTCACTGCAACTTCCACCTCCTGGGTTCAAGCGATTCTTCTGCCTCAGCCTCCCGAGTTAGCTGGGATTACAGGCGCACACCACCACACCCAGCTAATTTTTGTATTCTTTAGTAGAGACAGGATTTCCCCACATTGGCCAGGTTGGTCTTGAACTCCTGACCTCAGATGATCTGCTCACCTCTGCCTCCCAAAGTGCTGGGATTGCAGGCGTGAGCCACCACACCCAGCTAAAAAGTAATTTTTAAAAGGGGACCAAGGTGCCCAAAGGAATCTGAATCATGTGATACAGTTATTGCTATGGGTAAATTTTTAAATGTTTGAGAATAAAGCTAGAGACTGGCTTATCCTATTGGGAGGAGTGTGGGGAGAGGGTGGAGAGAAGGCAGACATTCAAGTTCCATTAACAGCTGCCTCTGTTCATCACAGGAGGCTATGGGGGAAGAGGGCTCTAGCTGGACCACACCCTAGCGGAGGACCTGCTGGTGTGCAGATTGGTGGGATGGGTCCCAGAGCCCTGGGCCAAGTGGAGAGACCCTCCAGGCAGGGTACTTCCATCCCTGTCAGAGGCCCACTCTCTGAAAAAAGCTGGGCTCTTTCAAACAGCAGTGTCTAGCAGAGTCAGGGACAGCGCACTGGGGAATGTGTCCTGAACTGTCCACAACATGGCCCTTGGCCAAGAGAAGACCACGGCCGTGGTCATAGCAGGTAAAAGCTGGGGTGGAAACAGGTTTGAAGCCGCTGGTCCTTCCAGAGGAAACTCCTACCCTAGTAGGAACTTTAAGAGGAATTTTCGATTTTTTAAAATTCTAAGGATAAAGCATGTATAGTATATAAAATTTGAAAAAAAATCTAAAATATTTAAAGGAAACTGAACAATGGCCTATAATAGCTTAAATTGGAGAGAACTGCTGCGAACATTTTTGTGTCTTTCTTGCAAGACTTTTTTGTATATATGGATCTCTGAGCATGTATGTGTTTACATACGTGTATTCTTGTGCCCAGGATTTTTTTCCACTTAGGATGTCATGAGCACTTTTTTTTTTTTGCCCATGTCCCTAAGTAATATGATTTTAAGGGCTGCATAGTATTTCACCATGTGGCTATAGAATAATAAAATTAATCAAAGCCTTGTTTCTGGGCATCTGGATGCTTTCCAGTTTTTCTTATATTATAATGAAGGGTGCAGTGAACATCTCTGAACATATTTTGAAAAGCAATTTTGATTTTTTTTTTTTTTAGAAAAAAAAAATCTACTTCCATGCTTCTGGAAGTAGAATTAATGGGTCAAAGTGTTCGAACCTTTTACTTATTTTTTCTTTTTTATTTATAATATAGATGAGGTCTCACTATGTTGTCCAGGCTGGTCTCAAACTCCTGAGCTGCAGTGATCCTCCTGCTTCAGCCTCCCAAAATGCTAGGATTACAAGTGTGAGCCACCATACCTGGCCTAAACCTTTTAAAGATCCTTGAAACAAATTGGAGACCAGCCTGGCCAACGTGGAGAAACCTGTCTACCAAAAAAATACAAAAATTAGCCAGGCGTGGTGGTGCGTGCCTGTAAACCTAGCTACTCAGGAGGCTGAGTGCTTTATATGACTGACCTCTTTAAATCTCTCCAAGCCTCAAGGAAATAAGGAGTCCTGTCATGCACACATTTTACAGATGAGGGAAACTGGGTTTGAATGGGCTCAGTCTCCTGCTTCAGGTCACACAGCACTGAGCAAGGACACACCCCCGGCTTAGGCTCTTAACCACTTCCACTTATAGCCCCCTTTTACTTGTTTCTTCTCGTCTATTTCCTCTTTGTTTTCCGCTTTCTCTCCTGCCTAGGCTTCAGGCCTGCTGCTGTAGCCCCATAGAAATTGCTCTGCCCCCGTGGACAGTGCTCAGAGCAAAAAGGTTGCTGCTTGCTCTCCTAGAGCACAGTGGGGATGACGGGGGGTAAACAGGCAGGTGCTCCTGGGAAGATTGGAGGTGCTTAGTGAGGAGAGTGCCTTCAGATCTCTGAAGTCCCTGTCTTATTTTTCCATTGAGTTATAGGGCAGGATGAGACTGTGGTCCAGAAATTTGTTTAAGCCATCATCTTGAGGCAGGACCATCTAAACCATTCCTGAGAGAGGAACATCTCAGGTTTTTGGTTTTTTGTTTTTTTTTGAGACAGAGTTTCACTCTTATCACTCAGGCTGGAGTACAATGGCGCAACCTCAGCTCACTGCAAACTCCGCCTCCGGGTTCAAGTGATTCTCCTGCCTCAGCCTCAGGAGTAGCTGGGATTACAGGTGCCTGCCACCACACGTGGCTAATGTTTGTATTTTGTCATGGTTTCCTCATGACACATGGTTTCCCCATGTTGGCCAGGCTGGTCTTAAAATCCTGACCTCAAGCTGGTCTTGAACTCCTGAACCCCTGCCCGCCTCCACCTCCCAAAGCACTGGGATTACAGGCAGGAGTCACCATTCCCGGCCTTAGTTATCTTTAATGTCATCCAGGGCTTGAGTTACCAAGATAAGCAAAGAGCTCTTGGCCAGAGATTTCTCCGTAGAGGTGATGGAGACGGTAGGGGTGTACCTGAGCCACCTGCCATCTGAGGCATGTCAGAAGCTCTTGGCCATCTCCATGAGGGTAGTTGTTGGTGGTTTCTGTTTCAGCCCCATCTGTGGGGAATGTCTCCCCCTCAGCAGTGGCTCTGGCTGTGATCCTGCCTGTCCTGGTACTTCTCATCATGGTGTGCCTTTGCCTTATCTGGAAGCAAAGAAGAGCAAAAGGTAATTATGTGTAAGAGAGCCCAGGCTGACGGGAAGTGGACTATGACTGCTCTGGGAAAGGGCCAGGCAGAAGTAGAGGCAGACATGACGCTTGTCCTTAGGTTGGGGACCCTGCACATTGGCCGGGAGAAAACCAGTAGAGCTGTGACCTGGGGACACACATTGCAAAGGGAACTCAATAAACTGCAGAGAGGCCCCTGGGCAGACCTGTAAATTCTCATCCTTTGAAAAATTAGAAAAGAACCAACTATGCCAGCCTTCTAATTAACTAATAAATCAATTACAGCCTTTTAATAAAGAAATTTAGTTATATCTATCGGATAAGACTCTCATAAAAATGGTCACATTTCACAGGATCTCAGGACTGCAAAGGACTTTGAAAGTCACAGTCACATAATTCAACATTCCTCCCCTTATCTGACGGTTTGAAGACTCTCTAATCCTTTCAAATGCCCACTTACCTATAGTAACAAGGAGTCAGTCCTACTCAGGCAGCTTGGGCCATCTTGGGACAATTGTGCCTGTTAGAGAAAAAGCCCTTCCTAAGCTAAGCTGACATTTTTCTCTCTCTTTTAGAGAAGCTTCTCTATGAGCATGTGACGGAGGTGGGTAAGTGTTCTTGGCTGGGGGGTAGGGGACATGTTTCTTTTTTTTGTTGTTAATTTCTGTGCCCCCTTACCTACTAACCTGGATTCTGTTCCTGAAAATTCCATTATCTGCCATCCTTGGTGGTGGTGGCAATGTCTAAATCCATTGCTTCCAGTTTTTACTGCCTCTTATAGCTTGCCTTCCTGTTTGTGTAATTATTTTTGCCTGTGAGCTCATTGCTTGATCTTATTCCGTGGCAGTTGAGTAGGTTGAACATGGGGGAAGCTTTTATTCATTCAACAAATAGTTGGTAATTATCTACTAAATGCTCTGGACAATACTAGATTCTGGGGAGTAAAAGCAGACACAGTCTTTGCCCTCCTGGAACTTGCAGTGTAGTCAGGGAGATGAGATGAATTACATAGTTACACAAATAAATGTATACAAATGCTACACAGGAAAGCTCCCGGTTCTGTGAAGGCTATGACCAGGATGAACCAACCAAGCTTGAGGGTTGAGGGTGTGAAGTTTGTCCTGAAGGACTAGAAGTCACGAGTGAAGAGGGAATGGAAAACCATCCACCCTGCAGAAAGAACGAGAAGCATGGTCAGGGAGAGTGGCACTCACTGGGTTGCTCAAGAGGTGCAGGAGCGAGGGGGATAGTGGCAGGGGTAAGGCTGGGGAGTTAGGAGGGACTGGGCCTCCTGAGGCCTGGTTGGTCACATTCAGGATTTTAGTTATTCTTGTAAGATCAGTGGCAAAACAAGGAATGGGAATATCAGATGGAACTGTGCTTTGAAAAACTTGGCAGGCGCAGTGGCTCACCTGTAATCCCAGCACTTTGGGAGGCCGAAGCAGGTGGATCAGCTGAGGTCGGGAGTTCAAGACCAGCCTGACTAACATGGTGAAACCACATCTCTGCTAAAAATACAAAAATTAGCAAAGCGTGATGGTGCATACCTGTAATCCTAGGTACTCAGGAGACTGAGACAGGAGAATCATTTGAACCCCGGAGGCAGAGCTTGCAGTGAGGCGAGATTGAGCCACTGCATTCCAGCCTGGGTGGCAGAACAAGACTCTGTTTCAAAAAAGAAAAAAGAAAGAAAGAAAAAAAAGAAACCAAGACTAAACAATTCTCTCTGGCTGCAGTGTTTAGTAGAAACCAGAGGGAGTAAGACAGGATGTGGGAGACAGTTTGGGCTGCCATTTCTATTGTCCAGATGCAAGTTGATTAGGGACCAACTCAGGCAGGTGGAGGTGAAGATAGAGGTGGACAGGTCCAAGGGCAGGTAAAATCAATATCAGGGGCCCTCAAGGCAGTGGCAAAAAAAAATCTCATTATCTTTTCCTTTCTTCCTCCAGACAATCTTCTTTCAGACCATGCTAAAGAAAAAGGTAATGAATGATATATAAAAAGGAGTAGAGAATAAAAAACACATTCTTCATTTTTCTATGTAAATGTTGGCAGTCATTATTATGTCTGTTATTATAATACTATACACACACATGCACATGTATATCCTCCATTGATATTACTGGAATTTAGTTTGCAATGTCAAGGGGTTATGGAGCTGGTGGCAGTGGGTGAGGAGGTGTTCAGGTCATAATTCTAGGCCTAGATTACCATAAACTTCTTTCATTAGCCTTTCCACCAATCATTTAAAAAGGAAGTCTACATAGTATTGAAAAGTATATTAATGTGGTCATATGGGATGCATAGGAATTTCAAGAATTCATACAACCTTTGCATAGAGAGAGGTGGTGTGATACAAAGGAAGGGTCGCAGGCTCTGGAGTCAGCGACACCTGAATCAGATCATTGGTCTGCCACTTACTGGCCTTGAATAAGTCACTTTTCTGCTCTGGGCTTTGGTTTCCTCATCAGCAAAATTCGGGTAAGTTCCCCCTTACCTGATTGTTTTCAGTGTTAAAACAGGCAACCTTAAAAAAGCATCTGTCACAGCGCCTGGAACTCCTTTTCCTTATTGCCATTTTGTCTTCATTAATTGAATATTTTTGAATTAATTATTCAATTAATTGAACATTAGTTGAAAGATACCTTGTTGAAGTCTATCTGGAAAGACACATCACTGGCTCAGATGACTCCAGAGTCAATGATTTCAGCATCTACTCTCCTCCCTCCTTACCTCTCCTCCAAGTGGTACAAGTGTGGGGTGTAACTGGCAGACACTGGCTGTTCTGCTCAAGGCGGGAGGGAACAGTGTGGGGTAAGGGCGAGGGCCTCTGACTCAGGAGTCAGACAGGCTTGGATTGAATCCTACCTCCTTGGTCACTTACTAGCTGGAAGACCTTGGGCAAATTTTGTGTCCCTTTGAGCCTCAGACCAGCCCCCTATAAAATGGCAATAGCAATTCTAGGCACCTCACATTGTTGAGGGGATTCAGTGCCTACTGCAGTATCAGCACAGAAGACAGTAAGTGGAAGCTGTTAGTAGTGGAGATGGTAACAATAAACCATAAACGTCTTAGGCGCTGAGTTGTATTCAGCCGCATTGCTCCAATGCCTAATGCCTAACACATGCCCGGCCCTTGGCACACACAGGGCCTGGTGGTGGACTCAGACTTGGAACTTCAATTGTTCATCAGGGCCAATGCTGGGTAGGAGGAAATGTGGGCCACATGGCCCTCCAGAGAAGCCACAAGTTCTCCCTGGCAACCTGTGTCTTATACACATATTTCCCCAAATCTTCTGGGACCTCCAATTCATAAAATTTGTAACCTCAGGGGAGTTACTATAGAAAATAATAAAATTACATTAACAAGTTTTATGCCTTAGATATCATCAGCAATGGGCCATAAAAGGACAGCAATGCATACACTCATATACCGCAGTTATAAACAATATAGAAACACCCATGCAGACAGCAGAAATGAAACCAGACAGACGAAAAGGAGGGAAAGGAGAAGAAGGAACCATAGTCCTGGGCAGGCTGGGTCACTGAGAGAGTGGCACCAGCACCATCAGATTTCTGGGTCTGAACTCTGGGACATGGAGCTGGACATGGGGGGTGGAGTGATGAGGCTTCCACAGCTGCAAGGAAAAAGAGGCAGGATCTGATCACTCACTCCTCTCTCTCTTTCTGGTTTTTAGGAAAACTCCATAAAGCTCTCAGTAAGTTCTGCTCTTCATCCATGGCACACTCCTTCTGCTGACACCTTTGCTTTAGAATGAACATCTCAGTTTCACTTCCTGGGGTAGAAGGGAGGGGGCAAGGGTAATTCAAGCCATGGGGACTGGGGCTTTCTTGGCCTTCAGAGTCCTCTTTTCTCAAGTATTCTCTGCCCCTCTTTTCTGCACAACTGTTATTTAGTCTTTAAATGGGAAATGTTTCGCCAAGAAGAATAGATGTATCTCACATAGGTGAAGCAATCTGGAAGTCCCTTTTCTCACCCAGGCATGACATTTCCTTAGATGGGGTCCAAGAGGAAGGGATCCTCATTACACTGAATATACTGGAGCAGTACTTCTCCATCATTTCATGTGTGAGGACCTCTTTTTAGCATTCAAAAAAAATCTGGCCGGGTGCAGTGGCTCACATCTGTAATCCCAGCATTTTGGGAGGCTGAGGTGGGTCTATCACTTGAAGTCAGGAATTTGACACCAGCCTGACTCTGACCAATATGGTGAAACATCATAAAAATACAAAGTTAGCCGAATTTGGTGGTCCACACCTGTCATCCCAGCTACTTGGGAGGCTGAGGCAGGAGAATTGCTTGAACCTGGGAGGTGGAGGTTGCAGTGAGCTGAGATTGCACCATTGCACTCCAGCCTGGGCAACAAGAGCGAAACTCCATCTCAAAATAAAAATAAAAATAAATCTACAGACAGGTGACATATCTATGCATTATTGTTACACTGAGAAATGTCATGATCACAAAGTCCAATACTCAGTGATAGTTTTAAATGAAGTAATATTTTATTCTTCTCCCACAACATCTATAGAATTTATGTTGTCGTTACCTGTAGGTGTGAGATGTGTTATTATTTAGCTTGCAGATAAGGTTTAGCTCACATAGGAATTTGCTGATCCTCTGCAGTATCTTCTGGGGATACTCCCATGGTCCACAGCTGAGATCAATTGCTCTTGCAAACTCTTCTGGGGAAGCTCCAGGGTATGGCTATTGAGTATCTATCTGCTCGTGGTTGGGATGGGACTGTAGCATTATGGGAGGAGGCCTCTACATAGAGACCCTCCTTCTGATTTGCCAAATTGTTTTCATTCTTTAGAGAAACTCCGGAGTGAACTGAGTAAGTTTCCCATGCTCTTATAACTTCTGTACCAACTTATCTCCTGTTGCCCTAATGTTTCCAGTGATGGTTCATCCCACTTGTTTCTTTTTTCATAGAGCTGAAAAGAGCTGCAGCAAACTCAGGTGAGATGCACTTTCTCCATGTTTGACCACCACCCTAGGGAGTACTCAATGCATTTTTTTTTTTTTTTGAAACGGAGTTTCGCTGTTGTTGCCCAGCCTGGAGTGCAATGGCCTGATCTCGGCTCACTGCAACCTCCACCTCCTGGGTTCAAGCAATTCACCTGCCTCAGCCTCCCAAGCAGCTGGGATTACAGGCATGTGCCACCATACCCAGCTAATTTTGTATTTTTACTAGAGATGGGGTTTCTCCATGTTGGTCAGGCTGGTTTTGAACTCCCGACCTCAAGTGATCCCCTCACCTCAACCTCCCAAAGTGCTGGGATTATAGGCGTGAGCCACTGCGCCTGGTCGTCTCTAGTGCTTTAGTGATCCCTCTTTCTTGTTTTTCAGGCTGGAGAAGAGCCCGGCTGCATTTTGGTAAGTTATACCAATCAAATAGATCTCCATTTCAGAGCACATCCTCCTTATGGCTTTGTAACCTGAGGTTTTGTTCCATTCCTCTGGAATGTATGTGATTAAAAAAAATTTAAATCAAATCTGTATATCTGCTTATCAAATTGAAGAAAATCTTTGTGGTCTATCTTGAGGTCATATTAAGGTTTAGAAAGTATCCCCTCTTTTAGAGCACTGATAAATATTGTTTGGTCTTCTGAAGTGTTTTCTGTAATTTTTGAGATTTTTCTTAAGTTTATCGGTTATTTGTATTTCTTTTTTGTGTGATTTGTCTGTTCCTGTTCTATTTGGGCTATTTTTTGATTTGTGAGGACTCTTTCTAGATAAGATATATTAGCTCTTTGTCATATTTGTCACCAATTAGTTTTCATTTGCATGTCCTTGTAGTATTTTTCTGATGCACAAGTGTTTTATTTTTATGTAGTCAACTTCATTCATCTTTTCCTGTGTAGTCTCTTCCATGCTTTTAGGTTTGGGAAGTCCTTCCTATCCCACAACCAGATGAATAGCCACTGCTTCCGCCTCTTTCTACACATATGCTGTTTTCTTCTTTCTCTGCAGACCGATTTGCTTACGGGTGGTGACTGAGATTCTCAGAGAAGAAGGGAATGCGTTGAGCAGATGCCCCAATGATATATACTATGAAAAGTTTTCATAGTTTTATTCTAAAAGATTTGTACCTCTCTTTCAGTTTATTTCTAAATAGTTTGCATTTTTTTTGCTGCTGTTCAAATGGGATCTGTTTTTTTCACTGCTTTGGGAACCTTATCGATTTTCTAGGCTTTTATCCTCCTCCAGTTCACACCATCTTCCTTCAGGCAGAGTAAAACAAATTGACGAACTGGCCACTCGAGAGAACTCCAGGTCACCTTGGCTGGCGTTCTGGGAACTCACAAACCCTTCCATCTCACATTCAGTCTGGCTTACTGCCACCACCTCAACTGAGTATGGTTTATGCACTAGCTCTCCAAGAAGATCCTGTTTCTTGTATTTGGGGGAGGAAGGAGACTCACTGTGACACTCAAAATCCACAATTTTAAGAAAGAATCCTTCTCTCTATATTAACATTTAAAAATAATAATTTAGTCCCAGCTACTTGGGATGCTGCAGTGGAAGGTTCACCTGAGGCCAGGATGCCAAGGCTGTCATGTGTTATGATTGCATGCCAATGAATAATTACGTACTGTACTCCATTCTGGGCAGCATAGTGAGACCCTGTCTCAAATAAAATAAAGCAAATAGATAATTATAAGTAGTAATTTTAGGTGACTAAATGAACATCGTGCACTCACTGTAGGCATGCCACACTATCTCATTAGTTCACCAAGTCTGCACAATAGCTCTACAACACAGGCTCTATTACTATTTCAATTTTACAGGTGAGGAAACTAAGGTTCAGAGATAAATAACAAGTCCAAGGTCACATAACTAGCATGCGGCAGAGCTGGGATTCAAACATGCTATGTAGCTGCAGGATCTCACATCAAACCCTATATCTATCATCACACATTTGATTCTTTTGGAACATCAAGGACAAAGGTAGTGTCTTAGTCTGTTTTCTGTTGCTGTAACAGAATACCCAAGACTGGGTAATTTATCAAGCAAAGAAGTTTATTTAGCTCATGGGGGCTGGATGGTCTAAGATGGGGCAACTGTATCTGGTGAAGGCCTTGTGCTGCTTCATAGCATGGCCATAGTTGCTTCTGGAAAAACAAAAGGGCAAGTGAGTGCCTGTGAAAGCAGAGAGGAGACAAAGTGCCCTGACCTGCCTTATCACAACCCACTCTTCAGAGAACTCGCCCAGTCTGGTGAAAACTGCATGAATCCCTTTGTGAGGGAAGAGCTCCCATGACCCAAACACCTCCCACTAGGCTCTAACTCTGAACACTGCAGCAATGAGTGATTAAGGTTCCAACACATGAACTTTTGAAGGACACACTTAAATCATAGGAGGTAATTACTTCCAAAGGATTAAGGCAGCTTCACAGGCAGATGAAGAAGAACTTTTTCCTCTTTTACTTAACACTCAACCAGGAGACCTAGTCTTTGAAAGACAATATTCTTTGGTTTCAGTACACATGGTGGGGGTGGGAATCCATGAACTAAAATGGGCTAACGACAGTGATTGCAGACCCAAAGATTCTTGTTCCCTGCAAAGCTATCCCCAAATCTCTTAAGACCTAGCCTTCCAAACCTCACCTGTCTGTGACTCTTTGCAGTGGCAGTGACCCTGGACCCAGACACAGCACATCCCAAACTCATCCTTTCTGAGGACCAAAGATGTGTGAGGCTTGGAGACAGAAGGCAGTCTGTACCTGACAACCCCCAGAGGTTTGATTTCGTCGTCAGCATCCTGGGCTCTGAGTACTTCACGTCTGGCTGCCACTACTGGGAGGTGTATGTGGGAGACAAGACCAAATGGATTCTGGGGGTGTGTAGTGAGTCAGTGAGCAGGAAGGGGAAGGTTACTGCCTCACCTGCCAACGGACACTGGCTTCTGCGACAGAGTCGTGAGAATGAGTATGAAGCTCTCACATCCCCGCAGACCTCCTTCCGCCTTAAAGAGCCTCCACGGTGTGTGGGGATTTTTTTGGACTATGATGCAGGAGTCATCTCTTTCTACAATGTGACCGACAAGTCTCACATCTTTACTTTCACCCACAGTTTCTCTGGCCCCCTTCGCCCTTTCTTTGAACCTTGCCTTCATGATGGAGGAAAAAACACAGCACCTCTAGTCATTTGTTCAGAACTACACAAATCAGAGGAACGAACTGTCCTCAAGCCAGAAGGGAAAGGCTATGCTAATGGAGATATGTCCCTGAAGGTGAACTCTTCCTTACTACCTCGTAAGGCTCCAGAGCTGAAGGATATTATCCTGTCCTTGCCCTCTGACCTCGGCCCAGCCCTTCAGGGGCTCAAGGTTCCTTCTTTTTAGGGGTATGTCATATTACCTACTCCCATCACCATCCAGCCCAGCACCCTGGACTTCAGGCTCCTGGCCCAACCCCATGATTCTGGAATGTCTCTTCTTCCTAACCAAATCCAGATCCTTTTGTGGTTTCTATTTGTACCACTTTTCTCCCAGGACTCAGTTCTGAAGCTTGCCTTTCTTCTAAGGAACTGAAGTTCCCAGTGACGTGGAGGGAGGATTCCTGGAAATGAAACAATCAGTTTAGGTGTAGGTGGAGATGCTGAATATGTGTTACCAAGATACAGCACAGGTTCAGGGGAAAGAGTCTTCTACTCCAGGGGTTGTTTAGAAGACATTTTCTCTGTCTCATCCTGTCATCAAGTGTTAGTCAAGAAGTTATGGCTCCCAGTGCCTGACTGCTTCCTTACCCCATCAAGGGCTGCTTTTCTCTCCTTCTCTCTCTCAGTTCTGGCCTCTGGCCCCCAAAGTCAGCTTTCTATAAGTAAGCATGTTTTAGTCCACTCACTCTTTCCCTATTTCTTCAGGAATGAGTTGGGGGAAGCTGAGGAGTAAAATATACCATCCTTTTCTATTTTCTTGTTGCTGTTTACAACGTAGTTTGGTGATACCCAGAGCTAATGTACATGCTTTCAAAAACTAATCTGCCTGTTGATGATAACTAGGTACAGGGACTTTAAACACAGTTGCTATAACCCTGAAGAGCCTCAGGAGCACATCAGGGAGCTGGGAAGCACAGCTGCAGAGAGCTCAGCCATGTATTGCCCTCTGACCTTGGCCCAGCCCTTCAGAGGCTCAGTTTGTTGTGACTGTCTTATGAGTCAATCTGTTGTACCAGCCCTTTCTAAGATTCAGAGAGGCCCAGCTAGAAAAAGTGGCAGTTTTAACCACCAACTTAGAAACTCTTTTTCCCCACAAGACAATTGTACTGGAATACTTGACTATTTGTGTATCAAACAGCCTCTTAGGTTGGAGAGTATTGATTTCAAATAAGAAGTTGGTAGACTAGGTGTGAGGATGAAATAATGACCTTGATTTTTGGGTGTGTATTGCGGAAGCCTAGTCACTTTCAAGTCACACCATATACGTGATCTGGCCTAATCGTGGAGATATTGGTTATCAATTTGCAGATGAATACACAGTTCTGTGCAACAGAAACTGTATCTTTCTGTTTGTCAGAAGTTCTCTGTTCCTTCTTGTATTAGTCAAGGTTTTCCAGATAAACAGAAAGGGTGGGGAGGACAGTGGTTATTATAAGAAATTGACTCATATGATTATGGAGGCTGTTAAACCCCAAGATCTGCAGAGTAAGTCAGCAAGCTGGAGTGCCGTGAGAGCTGATGGCTTAGTTCCAGTCTGCTGGCAGCAGGCTTGACATCAAGGAAGAGCTCATGTTTCAATTCAAGTCCGAAGGCAGGGAAAAAGCTGATGACCCTGTCCAAAGGCTATCAGGAGGGAAGAATTCTCTTAGAGCAGAGTTAGCTCTTTTGTTCTATTCAGGCCCACATTTGGGAGAACAGTCTGCGTTACTCAGTCTAATGATTTGAATGTTAATGTCATTGAGAAACACCCTCACAGGAACACCCAGAATAATGTTTGACCAAATAGCTGGGCATCTTGTGTCCCAGTCACACTGATACATAAGATTAACTGTCACAGTGACTAGTGGAATTTTTTGTTTGCTTTTGTACAGTTTTAAAATAAAAGTTTGGTATTTGTTGTTTGGTATGTTGTTATTTTCATTGTGAATGAGGAGTTGTGGGGAAAGTAAGAGATTGGTTTCCAAAGAGCTTTGAGTCCCTGAAGGCAAGGTTTAGCCATGTTCATAGTAAAGCCATAGTTTTATTCCTGAGTCTGCTCTCTAGTATTTTATCAATTTATAAACTAATAGTGTTCATCAGGTATACATATTTCATTTACCCATATTCAGTTCCAAACATACATTTCTGAATATCCCAGTCTTAAAACTAACTCACATTGTCAGCTTGCGGAGGCAGAAAACATACATAATATACACATACAAACATATATGACATACATATAATACACACACGTTTGCACATACGCACATATATGTATGTATACATGTATGTGTATATATACACATATGCATTATATAGGTGTATATGTATATAACATGTATATATACATGCACATATACATATTATATACCTATACACATACTTGTGTATGCATATGTATATACGTGTATATATACACATACATGTATACATACATATCTATGTAGATATGTTATATATAGTGTAAGGTTATTTTATATATGTATATACATATACACATGTATATATATGTGTATATGTATATACATATATGTATGTGCATTATACATGTATATGTATATACGTTTCAGTCTACTGAGTTGAATGTTAATGTCAAGAAATAACCTCAAGGCCGGGCGCGGTGGCTCACGCCTGTAATCCCAGCACTTTGGGAGGCCAAGGCGGGTGGATCACGAGGTCAAGAGATCGAGACCATCCTGGTCAACATGGTGAAACCCCGTCTCTACTAAAAACACAAAAAATTAGCTGGGCATGGTGGCGCGTGCCTGTAATCCCAGCTACTCAGGAGGCTGAGGCAGGAGAATGGCCTGAACCCGGGAGACGGAGGTTGCGGTGAGCCGAGATCGCGCCATTGCACTCCAGCCTGGGTAACAAGAGCGAAACTCCGTCTCAAAAAAGAAAAAAAAAAAAAAAGAAATAACCTCAATATATGTATGTATTATACATACATATAACCTTACAAGTATATAAAACATACATACATAGATATGTATGTATACGTGTATGCACACACGTATACACGTACACATGCATGCGTATATATGTATATATAATATCCTTACAGTAATTCTGTCAGGGATTTTATGGGAGAGGAAGTTGGTACTCCAAATGACTAGGTGGTAGAGCCAAGAATTATTCTTGGTTTATCTAGCTCTGAAACCAATGCTCCTTGTTCTTCACACTGAAACAATGTGCAGATATGAGAAGCCTGTAGTTAGTCTACATATCCCATTAGCCTTTTATTATTTTAAAAAATAAAATCTGAAAAAAAACTGACCTAGTCATGGATACTTTGGTGATCTTGTTGCTTCTGGACTGATGAACAACTGCCAGGCTTAACTAGGGATGCATGCAGAAGCCGGGAAAATCCCTGCTCAGTGGTGCTGGGAGACCTGGAGGTTGCTCTTTGGACAGGGTACTTTTAACTTCTCTGATAAGGAGATTGGGTTATTTTATCTTTAAACTCCCTTCCAGCTCTACGCTCCTTTGATTTTAAGTTACAAACCTTAAGTGAGGTGCCAGACTCTAGGCTTCGTTGGATGTCTACAGGATGGTCAAGGGTTACCAACTCAAAGTAAAGAAGGCACTTTGGAGATACGTTCGTCAGTTTGCTCCTTTCTGCCCATGGACGGCGCTGAAGAAGCATCATTAATTCTCTCTTCTCCCTGCAATCATGTCTAAGTCAGAGTCTCCTAAAGAGCCCGAACAGCTGAGGAAACTCTTCATCGGAGGGTTGAGCTTCGAAACAACTGATGAGAGCCTGAGGAGCCATTTTGAGCAATGAAGATGCTCATGGACTATGTGGGAATGAGAGAGCCAAAGACCAAGCACTCCAGGGACTTTGGGTTTGTCACGTATGCCACTGTGGAGGAGGTGGATGCAGCCATGAATGCAAGGCCACACAAAGTGGATGGAAGAGTTGTGGAACCAAAGAGAGCTGTCTCAAGAGAAGATTCTTAAAGACCAGGTGCCCACTTAACTGTGAAAAAAATATTTGTTGGTGGCATTAAAGAAGACACTGAAGAACATCACCTAAGAGATTATTTTGAACAGTATGGAAAAATTGAAGTGATTGAAATCGTGACTGACCAAGGCATTGGCAAGAAAAGGGCCTTTGCCTTTGTAGCCTTTGACAGCCATGACTCTGTGGATAAGATTGTCATTCAGAAATACCATACTGTGAATGGCCACAACTGTGAAGTTAGGAAAGCCCTGCCAAAGCAAGAGATGGCTAGTGCTTCATCCAGCCAAAGAGGTCGAAGTGGTTCTGGAAACTTTGGTGGTGGTCATGGAGGTGGTTTCGGTGGAATGACAACTTTGGTCGTGGAGGAAACTTCAGCAGTCGTGGTGGCTTTGGTGGCAGCTGTGGTGGTGGTGGATACTGTGGCAGTGGGGATGGCTATAATGGATTTGGTAATGACAGAAGCCATTTTGGAGGTGGTGGAAGCTACAATCATTTTGGCAATTACAACAATCAGTCTTCAAATTTTGGACCCATGAAGGGAGGAAACTTTGGAGGCAGAAGCTCTGGCCCCTGTGGTGGTGGTGGCCAATACTTTGCCAAACCACGAAACCAGGGTGGCTATGGTGGTTCCAGTAGCAGCAGTAGCTATGGCAGTAGCAGAAGATTTTAATTAGGAAACAAAGCTTAGCAGGAGAGGAGAGCCAGAGAAGTGACAGGGAAGCTACAGGTTACAACAGATTTGTGAACTCAGCCAAGCACAGTGGTGGCAGGGCCTTGCTGCTACAAAGAAGACATGAGTTAGACAAATACTCATGTGTATGGGCAAAAAACTCGAGGACTGTTGTAACTAATTGTATAACAGGTTATTTTAGTTTCTGTTCAGCGGAAAGTGTAAAGCATTCCAACAAAGGGTTTTAATGTAGATTTTTTTTTTTTTTGCATCCATGCTGTTGATTGCTAAATGTAATAGTCTGATTGTGACGCTGAATAAATATATTTTTTTAATGTGCTGTGTAAAGTTAGTCTATTTTGAAGCCATCTTGATAAATTTCCCCGACAGTGTGAAGTTAGAATTCCTTCAGGGTGATGCCAGCTTCTATTTGGAATTTATGTACAACCTGCTTGGGTGGAGAAGCCATTGTCTTCAGGAACCTTGGTGTAGTTGAACTGGTAGTTACTGTTGTGACCTGAAGTTCACCATTAAAAGGGATTACCCAAGCAAAATCATGGAATTATTGGTTATAAAAATGATTGTTGGCACATCCTATGCAATACATCTAAATTGAATAATAGTACCAGATAAAATTAGAGATGGGAATGAAGCTCGTGTATCATCAACATGTGTAATCAATAAATGATTTAATTCTCTTAAAAAAAAAAAAAGGCACTTTGAGTATGTACCCCCTTTGGAGGTTGTGTAGGTTAGCTATATAGATTCTACAACTTCCGAGACCAGTGGCCGTGAGACTTGGGGTTGAAAGCAGGAGCACAGAAGGAAATTCCACCTTAGGACGGAACCCAGTCTCTTCAGCTCCATTCTAAAGTTCCCAAGTTTTCTCCCAGGCTATGCGCTCCCTTAGGACTACAACTCCCAGCAAGCCACGCCAGAGGTCAAAGCTTATTGGCGGTTTTGCCTGGTCGTTTGCATTGTGACAGTTATTATAGCCAATAAAAATAAAGTATTATCCTAAAAAACCAATCCTAGAGAAGTAGGACGGATCTTCCTGGGTTCCGGCTCCGGCTCCGGCTCCTTCCCCCGCCTACAGAGGCGGCGCTGTCCCTGACCGAGCGGCGGGAGCGAGGTGGGTCAGGGTTGGGCCTGAGGTCTGTGGGGGGAGGCGGATACGACTTCGCGGGAAACTCTGTATAAGGCCTCTTCCCTCTCACCGAGGAGTTTGGAGGCTGCTGCCTTGCACCCTGGACCGAGTGTGATGCCAAGGGGCCTTGTGGTCCCTCCTCCTCGACCCTCGGCCCTGGCCCCCGGCCCGCGCAGCCAGGTTGCTGTCCCCACCCCATTCCCGGGCCCTTCCGTAGGCCTTGAGTATACAGCCCTCCTGCCACTAGCCATAGGTTTAGGGTCAGCCCCTCCTCCTCTCCCACCCCTCCGGCCCCAAGCCCGCCGCAATCTCTGAACCCACCTCTTGTCTCCTTGGGCCTCCGCCATTGGCTTCTCCCCGCCCAGCAACACGCAACCCAGCCTCTTGGGCCCTGGCCCTGTGACACTTCTGGCAGCTTTTGCTCCCTTTTCCCTGACCATCTTCTGCGACCCTGTGACTTCCTTGGTCCTCCTCTATCTCTGACCCGTTATCTAGCTCCACTGTACAATGACTGATCGTCAACACCTTGCCCTTGGTCTTCCATAGCTCCTCTCTCTCCTTCCTCCCCGCAGCCCTTGACTTGGCCCCAAAGACCTGCAACTTTGGCGCGCCACACCACACTCTGGCTTGGCCCCTTCCATTTAACCTAGGCCCTTCACCTTCATCATCTGTGATCACTAGCCCCATCTTCTTGGCTCTTGCTTCTTAGACCTGGCCCCTTCTCCACTTCTCAGTCCCTTCCACCCTTGCTTCTCCCCGTGCAACAGAGCATCCAGGAAAACAAAGCCCAATAGACCCCTTTTCCCCTGAAATCTCTGCAATGTGGTTTGAAAGTGCCTCTGTACCTCAGCTACACTGTCTTCTCAGTAGGTGGTTGGCTTTCTAGCTCTGCAAGTCCCAGTCTTACCCATCCTGCATGTCTTAGGTCAAATACTTACTCTTCCATGAAACTGGTCAGCCCTTATCTCGTCAGGGAGATATGCCTGTGTCATGTGAACTTCAGTGGCACTGTTTTTATTTATTCTTTCCCCCCTTCTCTCCTTTTTTCCTTCAGTACTAGTATCGTGGTTAAAAGCACTGGCTTTGAAGTGATGGACATAGGCCTCAGTTCTACCACTTATATTTGCTCTGTGCCCTTGGGCA